CCAGCCGGCGGCCGCCCTCGCCTGCGGCCTCCCCATGCAGCAGGCCCCGCCGGAGCTCGGCCAGACGCTTCACTCCCAGCATGAGCTTCTTCTGATGACCTGAGGGTGATACGGTGGCAGGGTTAGCGGGCCGCACAGGGTCACCCCAGCTCCTCTCCAAACCGTTCTCCCTTCTGGGCTGGACCCTGACAACATTTGGAAGACCCTGGGCGGCAGGTGGGCGCCTGGCCAGAGGCCCCAGTGCAGCGGGCTCACCAAGCTTGTTGACGCCGATTTCCTGCAGCTCCTCCCAGGTGAGGTCGGCCACCAGCCCCATGGAGTCGTAGCCGCTGCTCAGCAGCTTCTTGTGGTACTGCGGCAGCCCCAGCGCGCACAGCCACTCCAGCAGGTCCGCCTGCAAGAGCACCGGCGCTGTCGGAGCGGGCTCCCCCCCAGCCTCGGCCCAGGACAGGAGGCGCCGCAGCCACGGCTGAGGGTGGGAGCGCGTGCGGCCGCCCACTCACCGGGATGTAGTTGGGCAGCCACTCGGTGATGCTGAGCTGGGCGATCTCGGAGGCGATCTTCTTTCTGTGCCCAGGCTTGGTCACCCCGATGGCCGTCAGGTCCTGCCCCAGAGTGGTGCCATTAGCCCCTGCTCTGCCTCCTGGGCCCTCCCCCGCCCGCCCACGGGGCACCCACCTCGGGCGTCATGCGGCTGATGGTTGGCACGTCGTAGCCGGCCTGCAGGAAGTGGGCGGTATAGCCCTCCAGCTGGAACTCACTGAGCCAGTTGTAAATGGCCTGGGCATCCTGAGGTCGGGATAGGGCTGACATTAATGAGCCGAGTGTGCTGAGCAGGGGCCAGGGCCCAGCCAGCCGCCCAGCCGCCCCTAGGGGCCTGGCCTGAGTGGCCTGAGAAGGGACTTAAGTCCATACTGAGGCCCATACAGCCCCCTGCCCAGTGGAGGCCTCACCTTCCCCTCCAGCAGCTGCTCCGGCCTCACGTCCTGGGTGAAGAGCTGCTCCCCAGAGTGACAGTTGGCCAGAGGGCGGTGGCTCAGGCTGCCTTTAAGGAAGGACAGAAATGGAATCAGGGGTGGCAGGATGAAGGGGTGCCAAGCCCTCAGCCGCCTCACCTGCACCTCTCCCAGCCCATCCAGGTCCCATTTACCTTTCCTACCTGCCAGGGATGGGGGGTGCAGTCCCGGCAGCCCCTGGTCCTCTCCGGCAGAGGGAAGCGGCTGCACACAGGGAAGGAGCGACTCAGTGTTCGGGGAAGTGGCAGCAGGAGGGGGAGCCCTGCCCCGTCAACGCCCCCTCCCTCGTACCTGGGCGTTCTCAATCAGGAGCCCAGTGCCGTGGCCGTTGGTGCCCTCAGAACTCTGCCCGCTGCCAGCACTGCGGATACTGCCCACACTGCCCTCACTACCCACGCTATTCCTGTCACCTGCTGGAAAGGCACAAGCAAAGGGGTTAGAGTCCCAGTTGGCCCTGCCAACAGCTGACTGGCAGACGCCCACCCTGGTGCCAGGCTGCCCTCCGGGAGGATGTACCTGGGCTGTCTGGGCTGAGGCCCACCCGAGGGAGCTGGCCATAGGTGAGAGGGTGCAGGGAGTCGTCAGCCGGGGGCTGTGGTGTCCGAGAAAAGTTCGGGCGCAGGGGTGTGGGTGCAGAGGGGAGGCGGGGCGCAAGGATGCCCACCCGCTTGCTGACCACCTCGACGATACCCGGGGGGAAATAGCCCACACGGTCGGTGCCCCTCTGGCTCTCGTGGATGTGGCCCTTCCAGCGGCCATCAGGATGCTGCTCTAGCACCTGTGGCAGATGGGGGAGGGGGAGGCAATGGTTACTTCCCGCATCCAGCCAGGGCAGGCGGCCAGCCCTGTAGCTGCGGTCCCCCACCCCCAAGAAGCTGGTCTCTAATGCCACAGTTCTGTGCCTGCTGTCAGCATCCAGCCCAGTCCCCCGTGTGCTTCTAGAACATACAAATAAAAGTCCTGGCATCAGCCCGGTTAAAATCCCAGCTCCGCTGCTTGCTAGCCATGTGGCCTTGGGAAGTCACATTAACTTTGCTAAGCCTCAATTTTGTCTCTACAAAGGGAAAGGAGATAGCGCCTACCTCACCTGGACTGGAAAATCAACGACATAATCATATAAACGCCTTAGCACAGTAGGTCCCCATCAAGTTAAGTGACCGTGACCACTTATATTCGCAAAGGAATGCCTGCACCAGGCCCTCACCGTAATGACATCCCCTGCCCGGACATTGAGGGCAGTGGGATCATGGAGGTTCCAGAAGTCCTTGAGCGCTCGAACCTTCAGGATCCCCGAGGCCTCTAAGAGGAGGGGGAGGACAGTGTCACCTCGGTCCCCAGGACGTCTTCCTACCCCTGCTGTCCTCTCCAGGCCCCTCCCAGGTCCCTGCCTCATCATCCCCACAGCACTCTCCCTGACTAGACCCAGCCTGGGAGTGTGACTCCACCCCTGCTTCCCAGTACCCCCTGGAGGCCCCCTGGGCGGGGTCTCCCCCACACTCACCCCGCAGCAGCTGCTTGATCTCCCGGCTGGCCTGGGAGGTGGTGAACTGATTCACGATGTCCAGTGCCGTCTGGTTGTACGTGTTGCGAATGTTCACGTCCACCCCGCCCTGGGGACACAGTGCGGAGTGAGCGTGCACTAAGCACCTCGCTGGTCATTTCCCACAATCCTCACGACTACCAGGAGGCAGGTACTGTTTCCTTATTTTACAGATGAGGACGAGGAAGCTCAGAGGTAGGGTCAAGGACGAGCTCAAGGTCACTTGGTAAGGGGCAGAAGTGGGGCTTGAGCCAGCAGGTCCATCTGCTCTCCAGCCACTTGGCCCCCATGTTGGTGAGGGACACCGCTCACAGCCTCCACAGCCGGCCTCAGACCCGGCCTCTGGTGGGCTCTGTGGGCACCTGCGGGATGACCAGGTGCCCACACCCACCTCCAGGAGCAGCCGCACCACCTCGGTCTTGCCGTACAGCGCGGCCTCGTGCAGCGCCGTGCCCGTTTTGGTCTGGCGGTTGATCTCAATCCCCGCTCTCAGCAGCTGCCTGTGGAGGCAGGGGAGTCACAGGGTGGTGGGGGCAGGAGAGGAAGCCAATTGCTGGGGCAAAGGTGAAGAGGGCAGCAGGGCAGGGCACCAAGGGGACACTGCTGGCCCCCCAGGAAGGGGATGAGGAAATGAAGGTGGGAGGAGCGATGGGTACCTGATGACCTCCCTGTGGCCGTTCTTGGCAGCCAAGTGCAAGGGTGTGGTGTAGTTGGGATCACACGGGTCCTTGGCCTCGCCCTCCAGCAGGGCCACACATAAGTGGCTGTTCAGTAGCAGCTGGGCCACCTGCAGAAATCAGCACCCAGGTAGAGCCTCCTCTTGAGACCTCCCCAGACGCCCAGAACCAGCCCCCCAAGGGCCGCGGCCTCACCTTGAGCCGCCCGAACTCGCAGGCCAGGTCCAGGGGCGTCTTCTTGGCCTTGTTGACCAGGCAGGGGTTGGACTGGTGCTGGAGGAGCATTTCTGACTGGGGGGGAAGGGGAGCCGAGTGAGGGGTCTGGCCTGGCCAGCCCCTCAGTGCCAGCCCCGGCCCCTGCCCCAGCGCCCGTGGGCGGGCGGGCGGGCTCATTTTTTCAGCAGCAGCCGCACGGGCTCCAGCCGGCCCTGCCAGGCGGCATAGTGCAGCGGGCGCATGCCTGCAGGAGGGAAGGGGCTTCTGAGGGGGGGCCTGGTCGGTGTGGGGTCCGGGGAGGGAACCGAGCAGGGTCTGGAGCCACCCCAGCTGGAAGGGAGACAGACTGACACGAGCGATGCTGGCTGCACCGGGGCTGGGTAAGCAAGCGGTCCGGCCGTACCTTGCCCACCATGGGTGACCTCCTGGCAGTGACCTAATCTCAACCCCCTCCCCTGGACACTGGGACGTCAGTACCACCCGCTACCCCACATGTGATGGAGACTGAAGAGGTGAAGCATTGGCAAGCCCAGAGAAACGATGCCAACAGCTATTAGCATTGCTGCGCTGTAGCGGAAGCAAGCTCCGGCCGCAGGGTCGGGTAGCGGGCTCCCTGGGGGTCTCACCATTGCTGTCCTTGATGTCCACAGTGGCCTGAGCCTCCAGCAGCAAGGCAATGAGCTCCAGGCTGCCCCCCAAGGCGGCGTGGTGCAGGGCAGAGAACCTGGCGCGGTGGGACACATGGTGGGGGTGTCAACGGGCAGCCCCTACCCCCCCAAGTCCTTGTCTTCCACACCAGGCCCATCCTGGGGGCCAGCAGGGCTGGGTTACTTGCCCACTGTGGGACCCCCCCGGGCCGTGGGAGCGCAGAGCAGCCGGGCAGCGGCATGAAAGGGCTCAGTGTCTGGGCTGAGAGGACTGTTTGTCTGGCCTGCCCCCCCAGCCGGCCCAGGGGAGGGGGCCGTGGGAGCAGGAGCCTGAGGGCTCCTATCCTCTGGGGAGAAAAGGGGGCCCGGCAGGAATCTGACCCAAGGAGGCCCCTCAGAGAGGCACCAGGGCCCCTCCCCTCTCTCAGGGGCAGGACCCCTCCCTCCCATCCTATACAGGCAGGCCCAGAGCTTTCAGCAAACACACTTCAAGGGCCAAGTTTGAGAGGGGAAGGGGCTCTAGGCCCCAGGTCCTTCCCATCCGTCCCTCCCCCACGGCACAGCTCCCGGGAGGTGCGGCTCACTCACCCATCAGCGTCCTGGTAGTTGACGTTGAGTCTCTTTGTGGAGCCGAGGAGCTCTGGGGGTCAGAGCAGGAGGCATCAGGACACCCTCAAATGGTCGCCCTTAGCCACACCCCAGCCCAGCGCTCCCTCTCACCACCTCCCAAGTCCAGCTGACCTCTCGGTGTGCAGGAAAGCGCCTGCCCCATGGCCCCTCAGCGTCCTGCACCTACGGCTCCCCGCCAGGGCCCATCGGCTCCCCAGCAGGGCCCATCGGCCCATCAGCTCCAGGGCACGGAGTACAGGGAGGGAGCTGCTGCGGGGCGGCCTGGCTTTCCTGGGCCCCCAGCCCAGCTCGTTTATAGCGCCAAGGGGGCGGGGCGGGGGTTGGAAGCTGTCTGAACCCCATAGATCAGGGATTTGTATAAAGGGTTCATTATGTAGGCAATAATTATTGAAATTATATACAAGGGCCAAGGAACGAGTCTATTGTCCCGCTGGGATGAGGGGGCTGGGAAGGAAGAGAGAGGGGCTAGAGGCTGGAGAGTGGAAGGGCAGATGCCAGGGCCACAGTGCCCAGCCCTACCACATCCCTGAGTGGAGCTCGTAGAGCAGGTGGTGCCAGACAGGCCTACACTAAGCGCTGACCCTGCCGTGTACTTAGCTGTCTGATCTCGGACAAGTCACAGAGCCTCTCAGGCTGTGTTCTCATCTACAGAATGGGCTGATCACAAAACCTGCCCACCAGGTAGAGGGCCCTTGTCAGCATGG